TCAAAACAGTCACATTCTCCTTTATCAATTGAAAGAGAAACATTACGAAGAGCATGAACAGGGGTAGAACCTTTATATGTTTTATCTAAACCAATAACTTCAATGAAATTTTGACCTTCTTTTCAACCAATCGTTTTCTTCTAAACGAAATAGTTGTTCCAAGCTGTCAAAGAGAATATGTTTGAAAATCCAATTGGTGTGCTGAACCACAATTCCTAAGGCATTAAAATGTTCAACAAGAAAAGAGAAGTAAGTAATACACCAAATGAAACCACAAGTTATTCCTAATATAACCCAAGAATTCTTTCCATCTCAATAAAATTTCCATATTTTTAATTGTAAATGGATAATTAAATACTTTCGAAATCATGATGTTGTCTATGAACATTGTTGAAATCCATTGTGGAAGGAACATCATTATTGATGCATAATGCAAGATATTTGTTGTACATCAGCCATTGTAAAATTGATGTTGGTATAACGCTCAAAATCAAAAATATTTGCAGTGAAATATATCTTGTATTTTTTGATAATTGCAAATGGAATTGCATTCAAAAAGAAAACTAATAATAAAGAACTAATGGAATTACGAATAAAAGAATGAGAAGAAGTTTGATCCTTGCCGAATCCAAATATAAAATAATTGTTACTAAAAAAACATTTAAAGCTATCGAAATTTGAATTCAATTGTCAAATTCGCAAAGAAATTGTGTTTTCATAAGCTCCTGATATCTTAAGAAGCAATAGTTGCTTTGTCTCTCTAGCTCTGCATTTCAAATATTGAAATAATGAATGAAACTGTGATTCCTGCTGCTACAAGCCATTCAATAAATACATTAAATGAAATCCGTTCTCTCGGAAGAAGACATTCTCGCGCATAATAATTGCGTCGTAACATTCGATATCATTCTCGCCGATCTCTTTACAAATGTGTCAGTAAATTCATCAAAAGAAGTACCATAGAACCAAGCGTATTTAGTAATATTTAGGTTTGCTGTAATATTTGTAGAAATACTTCTCTTTCTGTCTACTTTGATAGACATTAATTCTTTGTAGATTGAATAGTTGTCAAATTCGCTTTCATTATCAAAAATTATACTATAATTTGAATAATTCGCAAGAAAAGTTGTTAAATCATTTCTTGGATAATAAAATCGAGCGGAATCCATAAAAATTTTCAATCCAAGAAAAATTATTAATATCTTGATTATCATACCAGTAATCAAATTCCCTATAGTGACCTTTTCATCTTTGTGGTCACTGCATCAGACGCTGTTGGTATTGTTAGACATAATGAAATCACTATTATGCCAAAACATGTTGAGAAATAAAATCCATTCTGTGAAAACGGACATCAAACAATATTTTCAAAGTAAGCCTTATAAATAAGGAACTGCGCATTGCTGGTATACAATTCTGGCTTTGCAATAAAGCTCCGTCTTGAAGAGATGAGTCTCTCATTTAATGGCTAGTTTCAATTATTAAACATCAATTCTGACATGATCCAAATTTTCAGAAATTTTGAGTGGAAGTTCACGGTGGAATGATCTGAAATACCGATACCGAAAATTAGTTCTTCTTAATCACCTGGTCATTGTTATTAATTTCATCCGAAATGTTTTTTACTTCATCTCAAAAAATAGAGCTTTCAATTTTTTAGATCTTTCAATTAAAACCACTTATAAGCATGAGCGTGAAATTGTTTAAGAATCAAACTCACGGAATCATGTACAGGAGACTGCTTGTATATTTGGAACTCCAAGTTTTCTTTTCTGATCAATTTTATTTTTTCATTATTTGTTGCTGGCCTCTTTGGAATTATTGCAACATTGGTTCATGGATCGTAAAACCTCGTGGCGCACAAGGATTGGAATTTACCAATTTTGATCCAAATAATTTAACATTTGGAAAGAATATCTTATAAAAATTGCACAAAATGCGACGAAGATTCAAAACAGATTATCAGAAAAGTTTTCTTATTTCATCAAAAAAGACTTAATACTGATTTACAATATATGATTTGATTAATTTTGAAGATTTTAATGATTATCAATACGAGAGGGTATTAGATCCAAGAAAGTTATCTAATATACCATTAGCATTCCAAGTTTATGAAAATTCATCAATAATTAAAGAAAATGGTGTTCCAGAAGGAGAATTAAATCTTAGATTTTCTTCACAACTTAACGTATTCTGACACAGCTTTGAAACTGTTTAATAGAGCATTACTTGAAATTTTGTTTGATGAATTGGGAGAAAAAGGAGATGTTGATGTTTCATTAACTGTCCATGATGAAAGACAGTTGTTTTTAGATACTAATATTGAATCAACATATGAATTGATCGTGCCTTATTTCATGCCATTTGCCTTAGTAAATAATTGCAGCAATTTTATGCATAAAACAATTCAAGATATCAAAACACCTGTTCGACCTTACATGATATCATGTGGACTCTCAAGATTTACTTATTGGACAGGAATCGTTATTGTTGATTAATAATCATGACAATCTTTCAACTTATGTTTTTGTTTATTTATTATTCGATAGGAATATTAATCTTTCAAGATGTTGTAGCCAAAACACTATTTCTTAATTGGTTCTGCTCGATTTTTACCTCTCTTCTATACATATTTTGGTCATTTCTTATCAAAGAACTGCAGGTGCAATGTTTTTGTTATTCAAACTTGTCAATTCTTATGACAATCTTAATTACTTCATTCTCATTTAGAGAAAGTCAATACCAGCAGTTTATTCAATATTAACATTGATTTGTCCTTCGGAAACTGTTTGGAGTTTTTTGGAGGATTTCGAAAACATTTCGTTGTATTATCCAGATTTTACCAAAGAATATTGATTTCTTCAAACAAGGAAAATATGTTTTGAATATAATGTATGCATCTGTGTTTGTTTACCCATTGATCATTGGCTTGTTGAATTTTGGTGAAGGTAATCAGTCATAAGATATCAAAAATGTCATTTGAATCACATATCGATGATTTTCGTGCGATAAAAGAAAATCTCCAATCACTGAAGAAATCCATTCAAATGGAAAAACAATGTGAGAGATCAACCTAATGATTATGCAATAAGAATATTCAATGTTTCTAAAATATTCAAAATATACAAAAGGTCAGCAATTTGCGCTGTTAATCAAGTGTCATTAGGCATTAAGGACAAATCAATTTTCGGTTTCTTGGGATCAAATGGTGCTGGAAAGACAACATTGATGAAAATGATACTTAAAGAAATTCCTATTTCAAGTGGTACTATCGAGATCAACGGCCAAAATGTTGAGACAATCTAAAATTACAAATGTTGCAGTTTTGTCCCCAATTTGATGATCATTTGACAGAACAATTAACTGGACGTCAGAACATATGAATATCTTCTGCTATTTGTTAATAAGAGTGGAAAGGAAGCATAATGAATTGATAAACAGAATAATTGAAGTTATGGATTATCTCAACATGTCGACAAAAAAGATTAAAGATATGTCAGGAGGAAATAGAAGAAAATGTGCAGCATTCAATTCCATTCTTATCAAGATTATAAAAACTATTTTATTAGATGAACCAACATCTTCTTTTGGATCAATTGCAAGACATCATATGCATGAGTTGATCAACCAGTACAAAGGCGAAAGAACTTTCATGTTATGCACACATTTGTTGGATGAAGCGCGAAAGCTTGTGTGATAACATTTCAATTATGTCTAGTGGCTGTATATTTACAGTTTGGAAACACACAATACTTGTCAAACAAGTTCGGAACTGAATGAAAGATTGATTTGTTGTTTAAATTCTGGAGACAAAAAAGAAATTGAAAAAGTTAAGGTATTCATTGCAGTAAATATTCCTTCGCTATTTTATCAATGGAAAGGAAAGGTTCAATGATATATTCAGTCCCAAGTCAGAGTGTTTCTATCACAGATCTTTTTGAAATCCTTCAGAAAAAGAAAAGACAGCGAAATTGGCATCAAATTTTCACTTGTTCATGTTCAACATTGGAAAAAGTTTTCATGGAAATAGTTATGAGATCAGAAATAAAGGCACAGAAGAAAAAATAAATGAACCAAAATGGCGACACATCTCGAGCAGTGACTCTCATAAAGAATGATTTAAATATGATACCAGCTTTTATTATTATTAAAATCTCTGCTGTTGACTAAACTTCTTACTTCATTAATATTTATTTTTGTTTCGAGGAGAAGCATTTTTATAATTTCTAATTATGGTATTTGATTTGATGAAAAAGTGAATCAAATATAATAATTGTTACATCAGAAAGGTCTTTAAATTATATAATGTTTTTAGTTAATTCATATTCAAAAAAAACTAATTAAAAAATACCAGGATAATTGTAGTAAAAAAGGATGAAAGAGACATTAGTATTATTAATATAACATAAAGATAATCGTAAACTTTTGCCACAATAATTGTAAACAAAATTAGCAGCATCCGCCAGAATTTGCTTTCCCTATTTTTGAGCTGTGTATCAGCTTCTAGCTTCTTTCCGCTTCTGAAAACTTCTGAGGCTGTGAATAGAAAGAGATTTTCGACTCCTTCGCCGGATAAAGCAGAAACCATAAAAATACCAATGAATTGGTCTCCATATTTGTTGTTTACTTTCTCCATTGTATTACTGCTGATTCTGAAAGATCAATCTTATTTATTGCCAAAAATCAATGGCGCGGCAACAGGATCACATGCATTGCTGACGTTTTCAATCCATTTTGGTATAGCGTCAAATGATACTGAATCATTTATTGCGCAAACAATAATCGCAAGTGGACGAATTTCTTGCATAAATGGGCATAAGAGCTTGAAATTCTTCCTGTCCTGCAGTATCCCAAACAAATAAATCGACCAAGACCTTCGGATATTTTCAACTCTT